GCAACCTATGGCACGCGTGCCGATGGCGGCACGTGAGCTGATTTTCAGTGGCACTCACACTGCCCGGGTCCTGGCCACAGGTCCGAGGGGCTCTGCATTGTAATTTAATTTTAAATGAAGCTTCTTAAACATTTTAAAAACCTTATTTACTTTACATACAACAATAGTTTAGTTATATATTATAGACTTATAGAACGAGACCTTCTAAAAACGTTAACATGTATTACTGGCACGCGAAAACTTAAATTATAGTGAATAAATGAAGACTCGGCACACCACTTCTGAAAGGTTGCCGACCCCTGTTTTAAAGCTTTGTGTTTTCTACTGAAAAGAGAAACATAGTAGGAAAAGATACCGTAGTACTACTGCTGAGATATTGCTACATGGCACAACACAGGAAAATTGATGGATAATCTAAACAAACCCCCTGTGACCAGTATGAAAAATGATTCTGTAATTTATAAATTGTATGATGGTTTTATAGATAGATACTTAGAGCAAAACACCAATCTACATCACTATATTAGACTGAGAAAGGCACTTTTTATTTGCTCTACAGTACAGTGTTTGATTTGCGTTGGGTTTTGTAGTTAACACTTTCCCCACTAGACATATATTTTACATTTCAGCCACCCAATAAACTCTACTATTAACATATTTCCAAAAGATAACAGGAAACATAATCTATCAGGAAGAAACTTCCGGAAGCAATCATTTTGTGGAATTTTCTAGTCAGTGTTTCACCATAACACACAACACTCACATCTATAGCACTGCGTGCTCTTTAGTTAGGTGTAATGGGGTACACTGAACAATTATATCCTAGGGTATTGAAGAGCAAATACTATAATCAAGTTATGCAATAAAGTCACACTTTAACTACCATAAATAATACCAGGTAGCATAAATGTCTGTTAAAGCATTAAGATATGGACTCAGATGTAGTTAACAGACAGCACAATGTGCATTAAAGCCTTTTAAAGAAGGCTAACTGTCTAGAGTATGCTCGTAGCAGCTTTTAGGAAACAGGCTGCTTCAGCCCAAACTCTGCTGACTTGCGGACTCCCTGCAGGAGCCTAAAGCCTGTAGCAGCTTTCAGAAAGACATCTGTTTTAATGAGAGCTACAGTCACATATTGGGCAGGACATTTGAAGTCATCACAGTTTGGGGAGGTGTCTGTCTCTTCAGACAGAAGCAGATTCTTGAAATCTTTATTTTTATTTTTTATCATATCAAATTTTCCAATATTTTAAGCCTTACCCATCATCTATAAAAAAAAAAAAATAACAGTTCAAATTTGTCAACTCTCTTGGAGAGAAGACCAGTCTCTCTCTGAATTGCACAGAACTGGGATTATCTACTCTTGTGAATTAGCTAGGGTGCAGAAATATATTTCCCAAAAGCTGCATCAGGGTAAAATATTTTCATTCAGAGTCAAAGCTAGTCAGCCTCAGCTGAAATAATGAGAGAAGTTAACACATTGCCACTTGTTTTCATGAGCATATTGATATATGAACAGCTAAAATAGCTAAGTAGTTTCAAACTCTGCCATTTTAAAGATACAATAGAACCTCAGAGTTACGAACACCTTGGGAATGGAGGTTGTTTGTAACTCTGAAATGTTCGTAACTCTGAATAAAACGTTAAGGTTGTTCTTTCAAAAGATTACAACTGAACATTGTCTTAATACAGCATTGAAACTTTACTATGCAGAAGAAATAATGTTGTTTATACATGAAACAAGCATGGAAACAGTTTCTTTACCTTGTCAAATCTATTTTTTTAAACTTTCCCTTTATTTTTTTTAGTAGTGTACGTTTAACACAGTACTGTATGCTATTTGCCTTTTTTTTTTCCCCCCTGCTGTCTGATTTTGTACTTCGGGTTCCAAATGAGGTGTGTGTTTGGTCAATTCGTAACTCTGAGGTTCTACTGTATGCTAGATACACTTGGTACAGAACTACCGTCAGTCACTTTACCCCACTTCTTAAAAAACAGTTCAAATTTTAAAACCTTGAGTTTGATAAAATTGCTATGTGGGAGAGAGGTGATGTTTGCCATATACATTTAAAAATCTCTTTAAATAGGAAAAATTTCAAAATAAATGCTCACTTTTGCATGCTTGCCTCTGAAAATTTGCCTATTATTGATCCTTTTTTGGGTTATATCCTTTCATAAATAAATGTTAGAATTATGAAACCAGGCAGTTTAAAATCAGATGGCATAGATGTCATATTTTATGTGTATTGTATAGTCATACTTTCAGAATAGTGTGTGCTTTTTAAAAAAACAAACAAATAAATAATGGTGAGCTATTTGGAACTTGCATAATATACCAAATGGAAGATAATGGTTATTCTGTCACCACTTGTGGAAACAATCAACCCCTCACAACCCTCCATTAATTTATTCTTACAGACATGTCTGGTTAGACACATGGAAAACATAGGATGGGCTTTTAGATTCTGTGGAAAGATTTCTGGTCGTCAAAGATTAGATTTTAAATCCTGAAACTCCTTGGAGTAAAATCTCTGGATAAAAAGTGAGTCAGAATCAATGAAGCTGTTCTGAGGTAGATAAATTGAACACCTTACAGTTTCCTCTGGGTCTCGCCTGACCCATGGATCATGAATTGTCATTCTGCAGAAGTGAAGATACAGACATGCCATTTATTTCCTTCTGCTGGTCCCCTATCTTGGTGCATTTTTCCGCACCTCCTCTTTGACATGGAATAACTTCCTATTTCCAATTCTCCAAGCAAACCATCCTTTCCTTTATCCCTCCAAAAGCCTCTTATTTTTAAACCCTGCCAACAGGAAGTGAATGCAAAATAATATTTAAGAAAAAGAAAAACATTGCAAGTTAGCTCTGGTTTCCAATGTAGCCCATCTCCTTTATATCAGCCTTCTACAATTTAAGCTCCATGAGGCAGGGACTGTTTTTATACTTGTCTTATGCAGCTTCAAGCACTCTGTAGGCACGTAGCTAATACTAATAATGTTGTTTATTTCCATGGCCTAATAATCTTCTTCTTGGATTTCTCTTACAGTATTTAGTAGTGTGCTGCAAAGGCAGTAAAATCAGATGCTATTTCATCCCTTTTGAACACAGCTACTATTATTTTTAATAACACATTCTCCATAAGATGTGGGAAAATAGATTAGAAGATAACATTGATTTGCAGACTATAACTTTAGTAATGGGCTATTCCCAAACATACAAAGACAGTAAAGGAAAACTGAATCAGGCAAAAGAGGAATTACTATAAGAACCAACAGTGAAGTAACTATAAGAATAGCAAACTAAATTACTTTGGATTTGGGACATGATGATTGTTTACATTACAAACTAAAATAATAAATGTATACCATTCCCTGCCTTGAAAACTGGAGATTCTCTTTCTTCAGCCTGGCCAGCTATTCACTTGGCTTGATCAACTGAATTTTTATGAAAAAACCTTAACTCTTCAGTCCACTCACTGGACAAAACTGGCTTCCACACCAACCCAGGACTCCATGCAAACTACCTTAACAGGTTTCCCTTTCCTCTGAGGAAAAGCTTCTAGAATCTGCATCCTGGGAGTTTTCTTTGGCAATTGACATGCAGCTAGCATAATACTCTCTGATACATATCCTTTAAACTTCACAAATATATCCAAAACACGTATTGATGTTAAAAAAATACTGTGAAATACTGCATTTATAATATGCTGCTGTACAATGTGCATCTGTGGGTTTCTATTTGATAAAATTACATTACAATATTTTGCTAATGAAATAATGTTGAGTTTTTAAAAAAAGACTTCCTCCCAAAGCTTTTAAACCAATTATAGAATTTGTAGTATTCAATTGGCAGTATTCTAGTGGTACAATTATATTTGTGATGAAATACTAAAACAAAAGAAAATGTACATAGTAGCTTGTACATATGTAATTTATCTTGGTATTGTTTTGGGTAGTAATGGTAAGATTTACTAAACTTAAATTGTGTGCATGAAAAATGATTTTGGAAAGTTTTTTTACATTTGAAAAGAATTAATGTCCAGTCATTAGTGATGTCAGAGTTAAAAGCCCACCATCTGGAAACATAATAGTTTGCTGATGCAAAGTTACTGATGTGTGTAAGAACTGGAAGGATTGGGACCACCTTTGTTATCTGATAATTACTTTGAGGTCTGAGAGTGCCGCATGCATACGGACTGCAGACTTGGGTTTGAAGATTATTAAATATTATTTATGTTCATATATTTGTACATGTAAATGACTAATATTTGTACATGAACATGGCTTCTAAAGTCTATATGTAGAGATTATTTTGCAGAGAGACCAATATTTATTTGACATATTTTTGAATTTATAATAGTGCTTTAAAGACCCAATCTTGCATGGGGTAGTGTGTGTGGATGGGCAGTTGTGTCCACAGAAGGCCCCAGAGACTAAATGGGGGTTTCATACAGTTATAGCAGTCTGCTCATGAACTACACAATATAGGACTGGGGTCTAAGGCAAATCTATTTTCATAAAAACAAATCACATGAGTGCATGGAACTACAACCACTAAGCACACGATGAATTACATTTATATCAATTCAGGAATGTTTAAAATGCTTTTGGTCTTAAAATATAGTTAGAAAAATCAAACAGTTTTGAGATCTTTCTTCACTTTTTGTCTGTAATGCTTGTCTGTCTTACTGTATAACCAGAAATGGCTTACCTATGTGTTGAAATATAAGCATTAATAGTACTGCTGAACTGGATGTTTAAAAGTATAGTTTTGTATAATAAGCACAACTTTAAGAAATGTAATTATTATTCTTCCTGGAAATACTATACTGTCATAAATAAAAAAATATGCAAGTTAGCATTTGCTCAAAATGTTTATGATGGAAGTATGATTAAAGTTAATTTGCAATAAATATTATGGAAAACTGGAAAATAGGCAATAATTTTCTTAATAGATTTGGTAAAAATAATAATAATATACATATTTCTATTTTACAGTTACCTGCCATGGTTTGAGGTATACTACAAGTTGTTAAATACTCTGGCAGATTATTTGGCTAAAGAACAGGTACTTTTAGATATTTGTTTATTTCTAATAAAATATTTTACTTGAAATTAATCGTAATAATTTTAAATCCTACAAAACTGTTTCATACTGTCTGCATGTTTGAACAATGTATTTTTAAAATTTGCAACAAAATAAAAAATGTATGCATTTTAATTTTGCTAAGTGGCCAGGAAGTTTGACATATCCCAATGTTATTAAAAAAAAAATTGGATATGCTGCTGCAACTATTACGTGGATGTCATGTATTAATTTTAAAAAGCTGCTGAGAACATAGTACAGCAAAGTGTCAGAGTCCTTCTGTAAACAAATCCTGGGCTAAGTGTGAGCAGAGTGTCAAGCCACTGGAGAACTCCATGACATGTTGATTGTTAACCAGATAGTTCCTGAGATTTGGGGTTTATCAGATAGAAACACTTTTTCTGAACTGCATTAGATTTGATGTACTACTTTGCCCTTCATATTAACTAAAAACTACATCATATTGTCATCTTGACTAGAAGGGGGAAACTGCTTGCAGCACTCAGTGAAGAATCATGATAGTTTAGTTTGCATATTCATGAGCAATTAGATATATTCACAGGATTGCGCAGGAAAGAAAATACTGGCATCTGTCTTTATTAAAAGTATTAAAGATATACTTTCCTGCTTCAAGTATCTTGGTATACTAAATGTAATTTTTAAAAGAGAAAAAGGTTAGCTGTATGCTGTTGGCTGCAGATGCTGAGATTGCAAGAATATACGTGCAATAATTATACCTATCGGAAACAGGTTAAAGAAAACAATAACATTTTATATATAAAGAAAATATAATAGCCCAGTTGCATTAACTTAAGTAAAACAGAATGTAATGGTCACTGAAGTCCCATTGTTAGCACATTAAATCATATTAAATTTTGTTTTGTCTTAATCTTACTATTTAATTGTAATAGGGCTTTTTATTGAGGTCATGCTTGAATGACAAGGCTCATGCAGGGCAAGGCCTGTCTTTACCTTTGGGTCTTTCCCAGTGCTTGTTGGCACTAAACAAATAAATAGTAGTTCAATGTATAGCTGACAAAGCTGCAACTTTATTATAGTATATGTTAAAGAACTCTACGCATTAGTGGGCCATAAGTTCTTTCTGGCACTGTACAAAGTGGAAGTATTTGATTTGGTGTGCTGCCTCGTCTCCCATCTCTTGGACTAATAAATCTATCAGAGAGCTCCTTGTTGTCTCCCTGACCCAGTCAAAGATCTAAACCTAAGGCCTTATTTGCTAATACCTGAGTAACTCCACCCATCTTTGCATAGAGAGATGACAGCCCTCTTCAGACAAATTGGATAAGTTTATATGAAAGTTGAATGTACAGTTCTGCTGACATGTTGACCCTTTCTCCACATTTAGCTTGATCTCATTAGCCGAACTATTTTATAATATTTCAAGCTGTTGTGCTTTGCCTGTTCAATTTAGGACCGAATTTATGAATATAAAAATCATGATCTAGGTTCCATTATCATTCCTAAATACAATTCCATTTTGGAAACCAGGTTGTGACACCCTAAACAGATCCAGTAACAAAAAACACATTTGAGTTGTGTTTCCACAGCAGCTTTATATGACATCTGTATGCATTCACATGTACTGCTCTGCCTAATTATGTTTGCGTTAATGCATTTTGGGAAATTCAGAGGTGCTATCCCATAGTCTTAGTAGGGGTTAGAGTGCCTGTAGGACATATACATTGAGTGCAACAAGCAATCCAAAGGGAAATGCATCCTGTGATGTCCTATTATATGTAGAGGTAGGAGGAAAGAAGACCCAGTCAGCTCAGTAACACAAATGTGATTAGGGAGTCTCGTCTTTGAAGCAACATAAATATAATGACCTGGTCAGGTCACAGAAAGACAACCATGTGGCAGCCTAGGCACATTAACTGCCATGGTTGTTAAACTTGTGCTAACCATGTTGTGTACAGATCCAAGCCATATGTAGAGTACACCATATCTTTGCTTGATTATAAATTCAGTTAAATGTTGTACAGAGAGGTCCCAAAGCCAATACAATTTTAGAAAGGTGTTATCAGGCCAGATAAACTGCGATAGTACCATTTTTAGCATGAACCGTTTTGAAGGGGTTCAAGTAATATGGTTAAATTACATGTGCATATCAGGAAGTGTTGAGAAAGAAAATAAATGTTAAAGAAACCGACTTCAGAACTTGCAAGAAATGCTCATTCTCTGAGCCATAAAAGTAAATTGTGCTTGTACTTTAATATATGGCAGTTGCACTATGAGATGAAGTTATCTGTGATTGAAAAGATATTTGTTAAAATGGAATATGTATTATTTGTATATGATTATTAAGTACTTTTTTTTAAATATTTCCTGTAGGAAAATGACTTGAATGATATGTTAAAATCACTGTATAGCCACCCTCTGCCAAAGGCAAACACTCCTGTCAGTTTAAACGTGGTAGGTATCCTGTGTAATATCTCTTTATTGTAAAAATTTACACAGTTTCTTGTGGTCAAAAAACCCAGACAAAACCTGGGTATTGGTGCTAAATTATTAATATCTCATCATATTGCCTCCTATTGTTAAATGGTTTGCCATACTGTATTCACTTACCATGTAAAAAGTGTGTGTGTGTGTGTCTGTCTATGCAGACTCCAATCCTAACCTAGCAGAAATTGAGGTTTGCTGCATGGGTAAGAGGGCAAGCTACCATAGCAAGTGGCAATGCTACTCCTTATCTTGTTCGTTGCCTGCTGTCTTAGATGAGTATCTTTAGTTACTCCTGCTGTGGATCAAGATCTGCACCATGGCTTCTGAACACCTGAGTAGGGAAGGGTATGTCATATGTCAGTCTGAGCTTGGCTTTTCTACTGCCTGCCTGCAGTTGCCCCCTTTTCCCACTTGTGCTTGATCATGCCAGGGTGGAATGCAGAAAAGAAAAGGAGGGTTTTACTGAACTGTGTAAAGATTTCTGCAGGTCCAGACCAATGAACTTGCACACAGGTAAAGTGATTTGGGAATGTGTCCTGAAATTGTAGCGAATTATGGCTCCCACAGGAACAGCAAAGTGTTGCACTCATCACTTACTGCTATCATATTGGATTTGCTTGTCAAAGAGTACAACTCCCTGAGATAGGGTGACCAGATGTCCTGATTTTATAGAGACAGTTGTGATATTTGGGGCTTTGTCTTATATAGGCGCCTATTACACCTCACTCCACCCGATTTTTCACACTTGCTGTCTGGTCACCCTACCCAGAGGTCACCTTTCATAGTTAATATTTTTCCGGGTGAAATGGTGTTTTTTGCTAAAATATATACTGGTTGGGTAGAAAAATAAAGCAGCATGCCAAATGTGGGCAAGTTAATGTTATATGAGAACCACAACTTTTGCAGTTCTTGACCTTTTTTGTATTTTGAATTTGTAACATTAATGAAGCATTAGGTTGTACATTTTTGACATATAATATATAGCATTTCAGATGTGTGTTTAGAATTGTATAACACAGCCATAGAACTTCCCCAAAATACCTACACCATATCTTTTAGAAAAACATCCAATCTTGATTTAAAAATTATCAGTGATGGACAATCTACCATGACTCTTGGTATGTTGTTCCAGTGGTTAATTACTCTCACTGTTAAAAATTTACACCTTTTTTCCAGTCGGAATTTGTTTAGCTTTGGCTTCCAGCAATTGGGTCGTGTTATATCTTTCTCTGCTAGATTGTATAGCCCATTATTAAATCTTTGTTCCTCATGTAGATACTTGTAGACTGTAATAAAGTCACCCCTTAACCTTCTATTTGTTAAGCTAACTAGATTGAGCTCCTTGAGTCTACCCCATAAGGCATGTTTTCTAATCCTTTAATCATTCTTGTGGCTCTTCTCTGAACCCTGTCCAATTTATCTACGTCCTTCTTGAATTGTAGACACCAAAACTGGACACTGTGTTCCAGCAACAGTCACACCAGTGCCAAATATGGAGGTAAAATAACCCCTCTACTCCTACATGAGATTCCCCTGTTCCATCCAAGGATCGTATTAGCCTTTTTGGCCACACTGGCAGCTCATATTCAGCTAATTATTGACCATGACCCCCAATCTTTTTCAGAGTCATTTCTTCCCAGGGTAGAGTCCCCTGTCTTGTAAGTGTGGCTTACATTCTTAATTCCTAGATGTATACATTTACATTTAGTGATCTTAAAATGCATATTGTTTGCTTGCATCCAGCTGACAAAGTGATCCAGGTTGCTCTATGTTATTGACCTATCCTCTTCGTTATTTACCACTCCTACAAATTTTGTGTCATCTGTAAACTTTATCAGTGATGATTTTATGCATTCTTCCAGATCATTAATAAAAACATTAAATAGCATAGGGTCAAGAATTGATCCTGTGGGTCCTGACTAGAAACACTTCCGTTTGATGATGATTTAGTGTTCGCAATTACATTTGTGACCTATCAGTAGCCAGCTTTTAATCCATTTAATGTGTGCCATGTTAATTTTATATCTGTCTAATTTTTTCATCAAAATGTCATGTGATACCAAGTCAAAAGCCTTACAGAAGTCTAAATATATTAAATCAACACTATTACCTTTATCAACCAAACTTGTAATCTCATCCCAAAAAAATCAAGTTACTTTGACACTATCTTTTTTCCCATATAACCGTGTTGATTTGCATTAATTGCATTACCCTTCTTTAATTCTTTATTAATTGAGACCCATATCGGCTGATCCATTATTTTGCCCAGGATTGATGTCAGACTGATAGGCCTATAAATACCTGGGGCATCCTTTTTACCCTTTTTAAAAATTGGCACAACATTAGCTTTCTTTCAGTCTTCTGGAACTTTCCCAGTGTTCCAAGTTTTATTAAAAATAAACATTAACAGTCCAGTAAGCTCCTCAGCCAGCTCTTTTAAAACTCTTGGATGGAAGGTATTTGGACCTGCTGATTTAGAAATGTCTAATTTTAGTAGCTGCTGTTTAACATTCTCCTGAGATATTAGTGGAATGGAAAGATAGTTGTTGTATAATATGACTGCATAATCTGTTTTTTCCCAACTACCAGAATAGAAATATGTATTGAATACTTATGCCTTTTCTGCATTATTATTGATAGTTCGACTATTTCCATCTACTAATGAACTGATTCTGTTATTAGGATTCTTTTTGTTCCTGTTGCACTTTAAAAAGTTGTCCTTTACTGGCCATAGATTTTACCTTGTGTCCCTTTGCTTCCCTTATCAATTTTCTACAGTTCTTATCTTCTGATTTATATTCATTTTCTAAAAGGACATCCAGTCTTGATTTAAAGTCATTGAGAGATGTAGAATCTACCACTTAGTATTTGTGCCAATGGTTAATCACCCTTACTGTTGACAATTTGTGCCAAATTTCTAATTTGAATTTGTCTGGCTTGAGCTTCCAACCATTGGTTCTTGTTATAACTTTCTCTGATAGATTGAAGTCATTTAGTATCTAGTATTTCTGCCCATGAAGGTACTTATATACTGTAATCAAGTCACCTCTCACTCTTCTTTTTTTTTCCTAAACTAAACAGATTGAGCTCTTTGTCTTTCACTATAAGGCATTTTATCTATCCTCAAATAATTTTTATGGCTCTCAAATTTTCAAGTTATTTTAAAGAAAACAACCAAGTGGAATATATTTTAGAAAATAAAATCAATATATCATTTAATACTACATCTCGGCACTTTTTGCAAGAGTATTGTAGTATTGTATTGCAAGAGTATTGCAATTTACATTCTTCCTATTTAAAATTTCTACTCTAGTCACAATTGGATATAGCAAGCTTCTTCACTTCCTGTCTTACCTCTTGAGAATTGCTACTATTCTCTTTTAAGAGGATGGAGGGAAGAAGTGGGATTAGCTAAACTGTGGACTGACTGGAAGGGAAGCTATTCCTTTGGCCATCATCCCCTGCGTGTCTGGGGGAAGGAGAGAGTACTGTGCTAATCAATTTTTGCTTTGGAATCCATTTAGATGAAGGGAACTTATATAAATGGAGACCCAATGCCAAGTGCTGGGCTGCAAATAGAGACAGGAAGTGGTGTGGGACCAAATTTTAGGACCTTTAACAAATAAACAAATGGACTAAATCAGTCAAACTGAGTGAGAAGTCTTTGCTGAACTTGATCTAGACCCATGTGCACTGGTAACTGGCACAGTTGCAGGAATCCAGAAGCTGTTTTAGTCTGCAGTCTGGCTTAAATTTTTATGTCTGTTTGTTGTGTCCCCTTTTCCCATATTTAAGTGGCAAGGTCTTAAACTGTGGATGCTAATAGATTTAAAATTAAGTTATATTCTGAAAAATGACTGTAAAAATGGCACTATGGAATTCCATGTTTACTGTCCCTGAGTGGGTCTAGATCAAATTTCTTGGTGCAGAAGTAAAAGGATGCTGACAGTTGGAAAAAACACCACAAACTCGTTCTGGGATCTGGAAGCCAAGCTGTGTTCTTTCAGTCTCACACATCAGTACTGGTAAAAAATACATTCTTCAACTGGAACTTACCATTATTAAAGCATTCTGTCGGTGATATGTGAGCCAGAATGGAATCCAGGTCACACACTCTCAGGCTCTGTTTACAATGCCCTGCAGCCCAGACTACTGAGGTGTCAACTACAGAGTACACCAACGTGTGGCATGCAAACTGCCCCACTTGGATGATACTGGTGCAAACTAAAAAGTACCTAGTTTGTGCTTTAGTGTTTTGGAAGCACTACATTACTGTGAAGTAAACATCTTTTAGTTTGCACTAGCAGCATCCACACAGGGCAGTTAGCGTGTCCCTCTTTGGTGAGCTCTGCAGTTCACAGCCCTGTAGTTCACTGTGGTGCCGTGTAGACAAGCCCTTTGATGTTTTGGCCTTGTATAGCTAACAGGAATAAAACGTAATAATGGTTCACTTTTGTCAGAAATGTCAGCCAGTTGTGGTCTGAATATACACAGGTAACAGATCTGATGAGTGAGTCACTCTTTTGACTATTACCACAATTCAAGCCTGTCCATTCCCCTGATTACATGTACATTGAGTGTGTGGGTCATAAAGCTGCACCGTTAGATAGAGCTTTATTGAGGGGTGGTTGAAAGTTATGGACTCTTACTGATACCTATATTTCAACTGCACTGTGATGCTTTTATATCACAGTGTGACTGCTTTGATGCTAAGGAGGTGAAATCAGAACTGTCCAACCTAGGAAATTTGTTTCAATATATGGAACCAAGGTCTGGGTGATGTCATCATTAATTGTTAAAAAATTAAAGTCTAACTCCTAGGTAAACACAAATACAGCACACAATGTAATGAGATTTTCTACTCTATCAACCAACAAAAATACAAAAAACCCCCAATCTTTAACTTTGCTTAATCACCCTGCAAATACATTTTATGCCCTGCCATTTTATCCATGGCTATTATGCATTCTCTGTTGATCTGTTATAGTATTTTAGTTAATTATATACAACAAATGAGTCTTGCATTGTTATGTAGAAGGTCAGAACCTGAAATTCTACTGATTAAGTCATTTGACATTTTCATTCTTCTCAAAAGATTATCGCATATTGAAATCTTTGCCCCAGTTACTTTTATAGTTAAAATATTATGAATCAGATTTAATCTTTTGGTTTAAAGAACAAAATGTCCAATTTTTCTCTCATGTTGCATAAGAATCAAGAGATGTTTTTTGCAAGTGAGCAAGTTCTGAAAAATCAGCCGTACCTAGTATCGGTGAGTTTAAAAGAACTGGCTACCTAAATCCTACCGATGAAAGAAATAATTACTTGCCAGATGATTTCTCTGTTGATTTCAGGCTGTTCATATATGGTCTTTTGGAAAATGATTATTCTGTGGCTTTCTAGTCTAAAAACCCAATCTTTATTAATATATTTCTGTTTATACTGACCTTATTTCAAAACTGCAGTATGTGTGAATTATAATCCGACTGCAAAAACAAAACAAAATTTAAAATGGAGATGATGGAATAAATATCCTACATTTATTCGCACTTCCACTTTTTAAATAGCAGAAGCATGATAGTGGCCAGCACTTGTTAATTTCATACCTATTAAAGATCTTATGTGTCTTCCTAAGAGACCTCAGAATAGGTTGCAGTACTCCAAGCTATATTATTTCCACTGGAAATACAGTAGAACCTCAGAGTTACCAACACCTCGGGAATGGCGGTTGTTCATAACTCTGAACAAAACGTTATGGTGGTTCATTCAAAAGTTTACAACTGAACATTGTCTTAATACAGCTTTGAAACTTTACTATGCAGAAGAAATAATGCTGTTTAAAAATTAAAAAAGCATGGAAACAGTTTCCTTACCTTGTCAAATCTATTTTTTTAAACTTTCCCTTTATTTTTTTTAGTAGTGTACATTTAACACAGTACTGTACGCTATTTGCCATTTTTTTGTTTGTTTTTTGTTTGTTTTTATTTCTGCTGCCTGATTTTGTACTTCCGGTTCCAGATGAGTGTGGTTGACTGGTCAGTTCATAACTCTGGTGTCCGTAACTCTGAGGTTCTACTGTAGCTGATTATGGCTCTGGTGTCTGGCAGTAGTGGGTGATGGCTTCCCATAGCACATCTCTGCTGTTCTGCTCATTGAATTGATTATTTCTCTGTTAACATTATGAACAGTTAGAAAATCATTGATTGTTTCACTTCTAAATTACTACTGAATAATACTCTGTAGCCTTAAATACTCTGTGTTTGTGGGCAGTGGGGGAGGAGAAGAGAATTAAAAGTTTGGTATAAACAGAAAACAGAGGACTTTTTCATTGATCTGGGTGTATTCTTGGTCTTTGCAAATGGAAAAATAATTTTCTTTGTCTTTCGTTACTATATTAATGCACATCTGTATCTTGGTTTATTTATTGTGCACAGGGCACAGTGTCATATAATGCATCCGTTTTGTATAGCTAGTGTGTTGACTTTTTAGCTAGTGCCAAATAAGCTAATTATTGTTAAGGGGAAAATGTTCTTTAAGTCCATTAATCTGGTGCAGTAAGATCTTCCTACATGCATATAGTAAATAGCAATAATAAATTACATTTGCTGATTAAACACAAGCTACATTAAAATTTTTATATACTTTTATATATTTCATCATGTTCTAGTTAATCTTTTTAAAGTTTGACTAGAAATACATTTTATTTTTATATTGGTTGTTCAAATATCTATATCTATATCTATATCTAGATATAGATATAAACAGAGGCAGTTATTTTAAATTGTAGAGTATATGCTCACTAAGAAAATGGGATAAATAAAGTTTTTTCTCCTACAAGATTTAGGCTAGGATACTAATGATATGTTAAACTTATTAAACCAAATTCATCCTTGTTTAAGTATTGAAGTCACCGGATTAATATAAATTAGTGAATTATAGCTGTACTGAGTTTGATCTGGTCTGTATTTACATCCTGAATGTTGCTCAACCTTTAAATATATAAAGTTGTATAAGGTTGTTAATATTTGTCATAGATTAATGTGGAAAGTCAAGTAGTCTTATCCTAATTTCTGTTTAAAGATTGTTGTGAAGTTGAGGGGAACTGTACCTGCAGTAACGTTCTCTCTGTCCTAATGAATTTATTTTCTTAAGTGAATGATTTTTCCTCTTCCAGTCTAAATTTAGATTTTGTTCTCTTGTAAATTTTTGTGGTGGGAAACCTATTTGTCAGAAACTCTTAATCGTTAGTCCCAAATTGAATCTGCTGTTTCTTACGCTCAGTCTTGACACAGTATTTAAAATTTGCATAATTTCAATATGACTCTAAAGCAATGGCATGTTGATTTTTGATCTGCTGAATCTTTGGTGTTCTGGTCTGCTTTATTTTATAATATATACACACACATACACACACAATTTGTATTCTTGGTCTCTTTCTGCACAAAATATTAATTTTGTTTCCCCCCCCCATTAATTAGCATTCGTACTTCATTACTCCTGATCTAACTGGATTGCCAACAATCCCAGAAAGTGTAAGTATGTTTTTTTTTAAAATATCTAACCAGCAGTGTTAACCTTGTTCGATGGGTGTGGCTGAATTAAATTTGTAGTTATGGTCTATCGCTGGGCCTACAAAGTTAGAGCCATATACTGCTTTCCACAGAAGATCTCATACTGGTGTCAATCAGAGGTTTTTACAAAGAATGAGGGGAGAATACAGCCTTTGTCTAATAACAGAATCTTTAGTTAGTGAAAGAACTGCTGCATTGAGCATCATCCAGTGATAAAGAATTATACAAGGTATTTTTATGACTACCACTATTTCTGTACATTGTTTGAACATTTGCACATTCAGTTACCCAATTTGTGTGTGCATTTATGGTAATTATATATACAAATCATGCCTGCCACTTATGCACCTGAGTTATTTGAATATCTGGCCCCCCAAAATTGCATAATTAAATGCCAGAATTAACATCCCATTGAGATGAATGGAAGCAATTTATTTTTCTGAGTGCTGTTGTTTCAAGCTACCTAAGACACACGTGTTCACATTTGGAAGGTGATCTTGACAGCTCTAATGGTTAAAAGATTTTTTTTTTGTTTAAATGAAGGTTTGCATTCTACAGAATTCAAATATGTGATGGAGGCCAGATAAATACATTAAGCAGGCTGTAAATGTAGTATCTGTGATCTTCAAATGTGTGCTTGACTGCATGTTTAATAGCTAGCCATTGAACGCGTAGCTTATTTAAATAGACCACCTTCTTTAAATCTTGCATTTAAATGTGGGATCAAGGGCATTCATGCTATAGCTGGCCATTTGCTACAGTTTTGAAATTATGATATCCTCCCCTCGCCCAGAAAATTAAGTCTGCTCGGTGGCATGAAGAAATTATGTGATGCACATACCAGAATATTGATTCACTAAAGTATTTCAAATCTGTGCCTGCGGTTGATAGATGCTGTGATTGTTGTGAAAGTAATGCAGTACATTTTTATACTGTTCATAGGAAGGAAAGAAAATGGAAGTAGAGGTGCCTTTCTCTACCCTCTCTTTCCCACTCATTCCATTTGTAACTGTGTCCCATCCTTTCAGTCTAAGAAGTAATAAGAAGCTATGATTTTACATGGGGAGTAAATAGATGGGGGCAAACAGTAGTAAATTAATAATAAACTCTAGTCCACTAATTCTTTGCTGTGAAGCTTAAAGTATTGCAATGAACATTTACATTTTATATTTTAAAATATAAATAAATCTGACAATTTTTAGCAAAAAAATAAATAAATCTATATAGCAATATAGAGTGCTTTATTGAAGTGAAGAGCTAGATATACCTTTTGACTGTTCTGCAGCTTTAGCAACACAGAACCGCAATATAAATAAGATGCTATGCAGCTAGTCCTTGGTAAATTAGAATCAATCCAGTCATTGTGGCACACATCTCTCTCAGATGGGGTATTAACATGCTGTTCAAGAGCCACGGTTCCTTTCTCCACACAGCAGTTTGGGTCCTAACAGCCCCTGCCTTCATCTCTTTCACCAGCTCTGAGCCCTGATGCCCCGGGGGCCAGGCATTACTTTTTAGGCTTTCTCCTGGGATTTATTCAGTATGCCCCAATTTATGTGAAATTGGGCCTTTCACACAGTTGCATCCTCATGCTTTGAAAATGTCAAGGCCTTACCTTGCAATTTTTACTCACTCGCCTTTCTCTACCCCACACCCCAAAGTACAATCACAAGGGAGAAGGTGACCATTCTTATCCAAGCAAAATGTAAACAAATGTTTATTTATTTAAGGTTTATTTTCAGTATTACCCCAGTTCTGGTGCACAGGAATTTCCCCACTCTCTTTCCTGCCCGGTGCGGTCTGGCAGTGATCTTGCTCTGCTACCCCTTAGAGGGGGTGATTGTGTTTGGCATCTTTGTCACATGAAGGGAGGTAATGGCAGAGGGTCTCAGCATCTTCTCTCATCCCCCCCAGTACACTGAGGGCACAGCACCTGTGGGCCAACCAGTAGAGTTGAGAGTAACATTAATCATCATGCCCCTGATCTTTTTGGCATTGTGAGAGCCTGGCAGGGTAGCACACTCTGATGTCATAGCTAGACCAAGGGACAAATTCTACAGGTGTGGAATTGCAAGAAACCTGAAATAGGGGGGAAGGTTTGACCATACAATTGGTTGGGGGTAGTGGAATGTGAGATGCACATCAGGAAGAAACCCTCCCTGCACTCTGAGCCCCCTGGCTGGCCAGTGATAGTTGCTTTCCTGTTCAGTGTAGGAAATTAAGACTCACCGTCCCTGACCATGCAATCTGAGACACCCACCCCCCTGTAATTAGTGAACCATGAGGGCAGACGCTGGGCCACACCATCCATAGAGGCTGGAGAAGCCTAACTGACAGCTGTGAGTCTCATTTGGGTTCCTTGTTCCCACCAACCATGGCATACCCTAAACCGTGGGACTCAGCCCTTTATGGAGTAAATGGTTACCCTGTATAGGTACTGCCAATGGCCAGCTGTCAGGATGAAATTAAGGCAGCTGTCTAGTCAGATCCATTCTACCATTTCACATTAATAAAAATACTAGTAGCTGAAAGCCTGTGCTGTTACACAGGTGTAATACATAGTCATGCATATAAAAGCTGAAAATGACTGAGAACTTAAAAAAATTGACAGTGACAGACCATAAATCCCAGGTAGTGATGGTGTGTGTGGTTGTGTTCATTTTCATTTGTTGGGGGTGGGATTGTGCTGGAGATTTGTGTTGTTTCGTGCAGGTGGCAGATCAGAAGTGTGTACTGCTGTGAGGGGTTATATATATATTTTAGTTATTGTATGTGCTGGTTCTGTTGTTGTGTGGGTGATTCTGCAGAACAATGGCAGCTGGGCCAAATAATCCACCATCTGTGTAGTCCCCTTCATACAACCAATGATATTGTTGTGTGCATATTAGCTATAGAGTAAGGCTAGTGATTGGTTGAGTTACCACTGGTATCACAATGGTCTAGGACTCTTGGCATGGTATACATACATGCCTTACTGTACCTGGATGCCACATGGGAATAATTTGTGATGTCAAAATGGCTGAGAACGTAAAAATTTGACAGTAACAGACTGAGAATCCCAGTGATGACTGAACCTGGTGATATTCTGAACAAGAAGTGCCCTTAGCAAAACTTGTAGCTGTTTCCAACACTTCACACTGACTCAACAGACATTTTAGGCTTCAGAGTGACATATATTGACACACCTGGAGTCTTATTATACAGATTAAACTTCTTGGTTTATACATTAATGAGGAGGAATTTACTAACGAGACAAGGTGAGTGAGTTTATATCCGGGCCAACTTCTGTTGGTGAGAGAGAGAAGCTTTCAAGCTTACAGAAGTTGGTCCAATAAAAGATATTACCTCCCCCACCTTGTCTCTCTAATATCCTGGGACCAAGATGGCTACAACAACACTGCATACAATGAGGAATTTACTAGTTTAATTTACTACGGTTGGTACTAAGTCTTTGTGAATGCTTTTGTATATATTTTACAAAGCAATGCACTTTTAAAATTTTTAATTTATATTCACCTAAGGCCCAGGATGCATTCATACTAAAAACCCAAAATATAAATAAAAATTAATAGCTGTTTTAAACAGAACTAGCACATATTGTTCCAAAGTTTCCATGTTTCCAAATTTGTTGAAAATACAAAGTTCCTCTCCACCCAGAAGGATAAGTAAATATACAAAATGAAGAGACGATCTTAAAGTTAATTTTACTTTGTGTTTAAAATGGCAAGGAATTTTGTGAATGCAGATATTTAATGAACAGACATGTTTCTCTGGCAGGATTGATTTTCATTTGTATTGTAAGAAATTTTATAAATAATGTACGAAATGTTCCACTCAATTACCCTTGTTAATATATGTTAACATTTCTTTTTTTATTTATTTAAACAGAGAAATCTTACTGAATATTTTGTTGCTGTGGATGTGAACAACATGATGCAACTTTATGCCAGTATGTTGCATGAGAGACGAATCATTATTACCTCTAGCAAACTAAGCACTGTAAGTACTTCACACATCTCCTTTTAAGTAGAATATATTGAGCATTTCATAAAAAGACCTACAGACCTCTGCAGATTTAGATATGTTCCATGTGTACTTGTAAGACAATATCTACATACTTTTTTGATATATGGTTTTAATCTGGCTCTTGAAGTACAAAAGTCTGATTTATATAAGACCTACTCAGATACATTAAGTCAGGTTAATTATTTTTTCTTATCAGGAGATGAGAGTTCTTTAACTCTCCAGAGTTCATTTCTGTGCCTGCTACCCTATAAAGAATTCTTAAGGGCTATTATAAGATCTTTATTATTCACTTGTGGCTTATTCCATTGGAGCTACTTGAAGGAAATCAAGAGGCCATGATAATAGCTGCTATCCTAACCAGGTAATAGGTAGATTCATCTTTGTTGCAGAGTAGTGGTTTGGGGTATATACTGTAATAGCTCTGATTTGGAACAGCTCTTGTGGCTGATAATAATTTACAACTCAAAATAGCATTTTTATGACAGGTTTTAGGGTACTGCCCACATTGAAATGTTTTTCCTTATGTCAGTATAGACTGGAGAAATGAAAGAATGGCTATGTTTGGTTACAAACACATATCTAAATATTCAGATATTCTTTTGTTTTAAACGTTGAGATTTTCTTATAGTTTGCATGCTTGAGAGGTTAACTCAGGTTGCAAGTGACTATAATTTTACAAACCAATTTGTGTTATAGTATTTATTTGTCATTTAGTAGCTTTAATCTTTTGTTAAAACTCAGTCACAGAAAATCCTTTTATTTCTTTTAAGCAGTGCTGGATAAAGCCTTTTATCTGACACATTTTTCATAGTAGTAATTCAACATTACTAAATTTACTAAAGAGTAAATGAACAGTTTTCCTTGGGAACAGGATTTAGATGCAGTTTTAAAAACGCAATTCGGAGCAACTTTTCAGAGATAAACAGATGTTCTATTTTGTTTCTAAAAACAAATTTCTATGTTATGTAATATTTTTTGAGATCTCAGAGAATATATGGTATATAAAGATTAATTTAAATTCCATTGAGCCAAAAAGGAAATTTTGTGGGGTGGGGAAAACCCTGTGTTGCGAAAGGATACTGGTAAGTAGCAGCAGTTCCTACAATTAAAAAAGAAAAAGAAAACATCACAAGTCCCCAAATGTATAACTTGTTGTGTGGGCTGCTGCATCGTGCAGAGTCCCACGTGACTTTAGTGGGTCTTAATGCAAGCACATCAGTTCGCATGCCTCAAGGTACAGGAGCAGAGCCAAGCTAAATAACCCATAAATAGTTTGTTATTGAATGAGTGATGTGCAGCTTTTAGAAAGCAGTTGATGATGTAAGTACTGTAAGCTTGCAAAAAAAAATTATTCTATTAAAATCCCAGTGCCTTTGACTTTTAAAAGCTAGATCTTTTCCTTTACATTCAGACTAGGCTAGAATCTCCCATTTCAATCATACAGTCCAAGATTTATTTCAGTTTATCTAAAATGCATCCATCAAGAGTAGTGCATGTACAAAACTTATCAATAAAAGTTAAACAAGCCTCCCCTACCCCAAACCAACATTTCACATCATCTGCTTCCCATCACTTCACCCATCCTCCCTCCCTGAAAAAGCCTAGGAGACCAGATGAGCATCACACCATGAACAACAAATTTGGACTTTGTCAAACCAATGAGGGAAGAGACTTCTAAAATGGTTGCTCCTTCACAGAAAACACCTTGATCCTCACCCTCTAGGCTGAACAAACTCTGACCTATATTCTGAAGTCCAGAGGAGGTGGACAATACATAGAATTAAGCCATTTTTGCAGCTCACCAATCCAGCTGCATGCTTGGTCCCTGATAAGAGATATAATAGCCATAAGGGTGCAATAAATAGCCCCAGTGATGCTCTAGGAGAAGAGATGTGTAGGAGTCACTGTGGTGTTCCTTATACCCCTACAAGAATCCTGTATTAGTCAGTTAAACCAGGTTTAAGTCTGCTTTGTGCTGGAAAGCTTAATGGGATGTATAATCTGACCTGTTTTTGCCTAGCTCCCTCCCATTTAAGACCAGGGCTGTTAGGGTATGTCTACACTACGGGATTAATCCGAATTTAGATAATTCGAATTTGGGAAACAGGTTGTATAAATTCGATTGTGCGCGGCCACACTAAGCACATTAATTCGGTTTTTAACCACATTAATTCGGTGGTGTGCGGCCACACTACCCCATTAATTTAACCACATTAATTCGGTGGTGTGCGGCCACACTAACCCTAATTCGAATTAACAAAATCGATTTTGGCTCTACTCCGCTCGTCGAGGTGGAGTACAGAAATCGATTTTAAGTGCCCTTTAATTCGAATTAACTGGCTCTGTAGTGTGGACGGGTGAAGGGTTAATTCGAATTAACGCAGCTAAATCCGAATTAAAGTCGTAGTGTAGACCAGGCCTTAGCCTTCATATTTCAGTTGATCTCAATGGCATAGTAAGACACTGTGACCCAGGAACCTCTTAGTTCCAACTGGCAAGGGGAACAGAGGGGGCACATAGGGGCTACAGGAATCTCCTGAGTCTGGTATGAACATTCTAGTTCACCAAAGAATGTCATGTGAGGTCTCGAATAAAAGCCAGTATCACATGCATCATCAATATCACTGTGAAATGCATGTGCAGATGTTGTGCAAGTAATTATGTGTATATATACAGAAAATATGTTCTTAATATCTGTGTCTAGGAACTGGTCAGCAGCAAAGGTGCAAAACAGATTTTCTGTCAGACAACAGATGTATTTCCATATATCTTTTTACATGTACATTGAGTATGGTTTTGTTCACAATGGGTCTCCTATCACCAGTCTGAACTGAATGCAGATGAAGGATTGTGAGCACTTCAGAAAGAAACTAACTGAGGGAGAGGGGGAGAGAACCTTATCTGGATGTGCTCTTCAAAGGTTTGCTCTATTATATTTGGGGGGCAAAGAAAACACCCCTATCGTCCTTCACTGAGAAAGTAAATGTGCAACGAGTTTGCTTCATGACAAAGGGGTCTCAGCCAGGATTGTTTGAAAACATTGTAGAGAACTTTGGGTGAAATAAACTTCTTTAGACAGTAGGTTAACCTGTTACACCTCTACCCCGATATAACGTGACCCGATATAACACGAATTCGGATATAACGGCGTAAAGCAGCGCTCCGGGGGGGGCGGGGCTGCGCACTCCAGTGAATCAAAGCAAGTTCGATATAACGCAGTTTCACCTATAACGCAGTAAGATTTTTTGGCTCCTGAGGACAGCGTTATATTGAGGTACAGGTGTACTTTGAATTTAGTCTCTAGAAAATGGGTCATGATTTTGTTTTATATGTAACCATTTGTTTCTAATATTTTTACTCTCTATCACTTGAATCTCTGTTTTTTGATAATAAACGTATTCTTGTTTTTACTATAAATGTATCTAAGTGCTGTGGTACTAAGCAAAGTGATGATTCTGAGTTGAATCTTGCAAGCTGGTGTGTACTGTTACTTTGGGAACTTCAGGCCTGTTAATTTTGTGAGTGTTCAGTGGATGAACCCTCAGGGCTTGGCGTGTGCCTGTTGCTACCTGTACAGGGAGAACAAGGCCTGCTGGGGTCTGGACTGGACGAGCAGCTGTATTTTGAACTATCTGACGTTTCTGATCAGTTTTAAGATGCAGCGTCATAAAAATTGCATTGCAATAATCCACTAGTGAAGTGACATAGGTACTATGGTGAAATCTTCACCAGAAAGAAAATGTTGCAGTCTCTTGACCAACTATAGGTGAAAAGATATTCTTGTTCAGATAGCGATCAAGGCCATCTCAAAACAGCTTAAGATACAATAAAATCCCCAAGTTGTCAACTCGAATAACAGATCGCAGACAAATTCCCATGAATGAGGGAGCTGATATCACTTCCTCAGTTTCTTCTGGTTATTTTTCCCAACCTACCAACAATATCAGAGTCTTAACTGGATTAAATTTTAGTCATCTAGCCCATTTCCAAAGCACAGTACTGGCAAAGACAATGTTTCCTCTGAATTTTCTTTGTGCTGAGTGGGCTATAAACTCCATTGAGTGTTACATTTTTGTCCTTGGGCAAACTTACAATTTATTATTAAGGACCAAAAAAAAAGAGAGAGGGAGAAATCCCTCACAGAACTGTGTGAGAGCATACAAAGTGGATTGCAATTGCTTTTTAGAAAGATTACATTCTATTGTATAAATGAGTATTTCAGGACTGTTTAAAGTATGGATTATGTAAATGTGTAGTTAAGGACTTTAAAAAATGCGTACTACAATAGAGTATCATGTATGTGTGTGTCCAGGGAGTTTTAAAGACATGTATTATTGTGCAGTAGTGTGCCAATAGTTGAACAGTCAGTTGGAATGTGTGAGATCTTCTTCCACATCTAGTAGCGATGACATCCATAATTAAGTTATGAGCTGTTGCTGACAATAATTTTGTTCAGAATTCTTAAATTCAATCATGAAACTCAGGACCATGTATGAAACTAAAAATATCACATTTGTCATTTGTTGGTACTCTGGATAACTGTACTCACAAACAAAACCAATTTTTGCCATGTTCATGCAATAATTAATGATAATACAAAAAAGGAAAAAACTCACATTACTGATATTTGAAAATTGGCTACTGTAATTGTTACCGAAGGTATTTTAGGAACATCTGTGTCACATTCAGGAGCCTCAGCCCTTGAGGGAGCTATCCTACCATCTCCTCCTAGGAGCCCCTATCTCCCCCAACCCCACTCCTTATCCCTCCCTGTTGGCACTGAGAAGTGGGTGCTGAGATGCCCTGTCCTGCCAAGGGAGGGGGGAAAAGCCATCTGCTACCTACATCCTATTTCTGCAAGTGCTGCTCATTGGGGGTAACTTTTTTTCTTGCTGTCCCCTGTCCCTGGGATTTTCCCCTCTGCCACTCTCAGGCAGCACTTCTCCTTCTTTCTTAACCGTGGCTCCTACCCC